CTAGCGGTCATCCCGATCCGCTCTTTTAGATCTCTCCTAGTGAGCGTCCCATCGCACTATTCTAGCGGTCATCCCGATCCGCTCTTTCTGATCTCTCCGATTGGCCGTCCAATCACACTCTTCTAGCGGTCATCACGATCCGCTCTTTCAGATCTCTCCAAGTGGACGTCCCATCGCACTCTTCTAGCAGTCATCACGATCCGCTTTTTTAGATCTCTGCTAGTGAGCGTCCCATCGCACTCTTCTAGCGGTCATCCCGACCCGCTCTATCAGATATCTCCGAGTGGACGTCCCATCGCACTCTTCTAGCGGTCATCCCGACCCGCTCTATCAGATCTCTCCGAGTGTACGTCTCATCTCACTCTTCTACTATTCATTCCAAATTACTCTGATTCCTGCGCCGACTAAATATACCACCTGACATTTTCTCACTTTGTATTGCCATCGATCACCGATTTGTTAAATTCAAGCTGAAATTCTGTTGTTAAATAAGCGCTAGAATAAATCCCAAGCACGTAAACAAAGAATGAATGAAGATTGTTTTAATCGAGACGTTATTACAAACACACCGTAACGCAGTAAAATCATCGAGTTTCAAAACCAAATTACAAATGATTTCATTGCTCCTTGCAATCCAATCCAACTTATGCTTCAATTTAACAACGTTTTGATAACATTCGTTGCCTATTGACAAAATCTATTTTTTTTTCTAACCGGCATGAAAACTTCACTAGGGCATATAGTCCTGGCAATTTAACTCTGAATCTGGCAAGCAAGAGCTTATAATAGAAAGAAGAAGAAAACTTCGCCTTGAAAAACATGAACATGGCGTGACGGCACAGAAACTCTAACCCAGCAAGCGAGTTGGCCCCCATCTCACTTTTTTTTTTGTTACACTTTTTCTTCCAGACACTTAACTTTTTTTTGTACTTACCGAATAAAAATATCAATTAGCTGAGTGATTCTCGTATAGGTTTTTCAATAGGTTCTTTTTAGTAATTGCCTATTCTAGACAATAAAAACCTGGCAGGATCGCCATTGTGGAGTTTATGCTATTACCCTGGGAGAGATCAGAGAATCACCCATAAAGGACACGGAACTGCAGCAACGCACGCCTTACACCTTCGATGGTCTGCTACGGAAAGAGGACGATCGCTGTGCTGACTTCATAAAGTGTTGCTAGTGAATCAATGGTTCATCCATCTGACATGCTATCAACAGGGGGGCTTTGCGATGGATACTACTCAATGGTGAATAGTAATATATTCAGTTATGTGTACACCCCACAGTATGTGATACAAAACACCCATGCAAATTTACTTTCATTTATTCATATTCATTATTCATAGGTCAAAAATTGTCCAATGTACAGTTTGAAATCATGGGTACATGATTGTTACTTCGGTCATTCGGACTGCCTAACATGATTGGTGCTCATTTTCTAAAGGCGGAGCCAATCTAAAGTTAGGTACTCTACTATGAAATCTGTGAAAGGAATCTAGTATCATGTAAAACAAAACGTCCAATGTAACACTCATTGATTATGTCACTGATAAAAATCGTCCAATGTAACATGTCCGATGTACAACTTGACTAGTCAAAACGTCCTATGTGGTTTTTTCTTCTATATTTTAGCATGAAATTCAATGAAAATTTGTGATTTTACCGTTTCTATTGAATTTTCAACGTTATTATTCACTGACTACATTAAAAATAGTATTGCAAAATGTATTGTTTCTAAACAGTTTAAACAATAATCTGTCGAACTTCAACTTAGATTTCATCAAAATGGTGGATATGTTACATTGGTCTATTTGAAAAGTGACGCGAGATTTGAGACGACGAACCGCCATTGTTATTCCAGTGCTCGGTCCAGTGCCTCATCATCCAGCCCAGTCCAGCATATTCTCAAGGTAAGGCGAACAATTTTCTCTTTAACAGACTGGCAGTGGTAAAACCATAGAGATAACTATAAGACTAGTAGGTCCCAAAGAAACGTGCTCAACTTTTTGGCTCAGCTCTGGTACTATCATAGAGGTAACTCTAAGACTAGAAGGTCCCGAAATAACGTGCTCAACTTGTTGGCTCAGCTCTAGTACTCTCTTCGGTCCCAAGCTAATCGATTCACCCCTCGAAACATAGAAAAATTCACGAACCCCTCATTTTATCTGTCAAACTTTCATAGCGAATCAAAACAAACATTGTGTGGTAGTAGAATTTCGACTAGAATGGGGTACGTTAATCGTTTGCTTGGGACCAATAGGCTAGTCTAGTAGTGAGCCAATTTAAAATCGTTAGTTTCGTATTGATTGTTGGTACTATCTTCGGTCCCAAGCTAATCGATTCACCCCTCGAAACATAGGAAAATCCACTAACCCCTCATTTTATCTGTCAAACTTTCATAGCGAATCAAAACAAACATTGTATAGTACTAGAATTTTGACTAGAATTGAGTACGTTAATCGTTTGCTTGGGACCAGTAGGCTAGTCTAGTAGTGAGCCAATTTAAAATCGTTAGTTTCGTATTGATTGTTGGTAAAATGTTGGCATTTGTGAATCCGGCTATGGAGTTGATTCACTAGTTGCAATTTAAACCACGGAACGTAACGGGATTGATTCCTACCCGGGAACTGGCGATGCAAATTTTCGGAGTGCTTAAGGAGCTGATGGCACATCAACGTCACACATACTGGTTTTTGATGGAAGGTGCCAGTCGGCATACGGAGAACGAAAAGCTGGGCAAAGGGTTTAAGATTGTGGTGGCTACGCTGGGTTTTCTGCTGGATCATTTGAAGGGGACGCCGAATTTCCTGTTCAAAATCTTGAAAATTGGATTCGAGGAGGATATGAAGCAGATCATCGGTATCCTTCCTAGTGAGTGTGGTGATTATTGCAGTTGGTGAGCATTTTGTTGATTGACATTTAATTCTCTTTGCAGAAAAAACGACAGACGATGCTGTTCTCGGCGACGCAGACGTCTTGGAAAGAGGAACCGAGTAATCTTACGCTGAAATCAGAGCCGGGGTGTCGGGGTGGACGATCCATTTTTACGGAAAGCTGATGTAAGGCGGCATATAAATAAAACGATGTGAATAGCAAATAGCAATAAACGAAGAAAAAAACCAAACGCACGATCGCAAACAGTCGAATGGCAAAGTGCACTCCAGGTTGCATCCATTGCTTGGTCCTTCTTCCCGGGTGGCACGTTCCCATAAGTCTTCCTACTACTGTGCTCTGAAAGCCGGAGCTCCGAGTTGCGGTCATATTAGCTCCAAATTATCCTGGTTGGGTTTTTTTTCCTTAAACAAACATTGAGATTGTTATTAAATTTTGCTCAGCCAGTGAGTAAATTTGAACGGCCGTGTACATCGTTTTGCCATTTAAATCCAATTATGTACATCGCTTCTTGTACGTCAAATTTATTACATCGGTTTTGTATATTCACCCATATTCTTGTTTTCGTTCGAACCGTATTTCCCATACAAAAAATCTTTTTTTTTTTTGTATGGAAAATACGGTTTGAACAAAAAAGAGAATATGGGTGATTGTATCAAAGGCCCTCGAGTACGTTGCTCATCATAATATTACACAACCGATGGATTGACCTATGTGCAGCTGTTTCAATGTAATATTTAACAACTTTTTTTGCTGTGCAGTCAATGAGTCATAAATATCAAGTGGTATGCTGAGCAAAATCTACCATCTATTTTATTCTTTTACTTTTCAATACAACAGCAAATGTGACGTCACACATGCACGCGTATAAGAATGTCGTAGACAAAACATTCACACTGCCAGACTACGCTTATGGCATTTTGTTTACACCCCTGAGCGGGAAAGCCAATAACGGGCTACATTCAATGCTGCCATCTCCCCCTGAGTCGATGAAGAGAATCGATAAATGCAGATAGGACCTTTTGAAATGTTAATCTAGAAATAATTACCAGAAAGGGGACGAAACTAATCCATTTTACATTTCAATTAACGAATTTCAATAAAATTTGCTTAAGAGGCAACTAACCATCACTCTATATGCTTTTGTTTCTTCTTCTTGTATTCCTAAATCATCACTTTCTAAAAATATTGGTCGAATTCGTTGGTAGCGTGCGTCACCGTGCCAAAACACACAGCAAAAAAAGTAATATGCCTCAACGTAATGATGCTAAAGTATCAAGAAACTAGTAGTAATTGGGTTCTTTAATTTTGGAAAATGGATCGTTTTTTATACATCATCTGAAAGAGCTTCGTTTTCTGAGCACAGCGATATTTTTTTTTGAATCCACACACTTTCATCTCGATTTTTAAATTAAGATTTAAGGCAAAATAACAACTTCACTGTTTGACACTAAACTAACAAACTGAGAGTTCGCTCCCATACAAAGTGACACCGAGGGGCGCTAATAAGGTGATTTTTGCAAATGTAATAGTACTTATTTAAAATAGTTCCAGTGTACCAAAATTGATGAAATTTTGGGTTTGGGTTCCATTTTTTATACAGATTACGAACATTTTCCTCAATATCCTTGAAGAACCCAATTTGAAATGTTCATCGAGATTTAATTCGACAGTGAGCATGCATAAGGGCCTATACGCGATGTTCGATTCTCTTCGTCGATTTTCTCTTTTATGTTAATAACTCGCTAGATTTAACGTTTCTCGGTGCGTTTGCTATTGCTTTTGATAGCCAATACAACCTGTTACTACTCTGCATTGAACAAATTCTAGAAAATGTAGCTGTAGTAATGCAAAGAGAAAATCGCTGAAGAGAATCGATCATCGCGTATTCGCCCTTATGCATGTTCACTGTCTGTTATCTTTGGTTGTTTCTTTTTTCTTACCGTGCCGGCCTGTTTTTTCTCTATTCCGAAACCCCTCGTTACACCAGCTCGAAATATTTCAACATCGTGGTGCAATAAGAGCACACGCACAACGCTACCAACCTTGACGATAGAGACAAACGCTACGTCTCCTCTTATAGAAAATCTCCTAACATCGACCCTGTGATACCCGTTCCCTTAGGAGAAAACTCCGAACTGTGCAAAAGTTGAACGGATTCGTCATTGAATTATTTTCAGGTACAAATTCGCGTTAAAACCGTTTTGCCTGGAAGCAAAAACGCTAGCAGTTTGTGGCGGAAGTGCTGCGCATTGCGCGTGTGATATTTGCAGTAACCGGAAGCGGTTAGAAGCACCCGAAATCCGGGTTCGAAATTAGTTAAATTGACTTCATTCGCCTTTTTTTTCTAGTGCGTGGAGTGTTGGAAGAAAGAAGAAGCACAAGTACAGGACAGCTGAGAAGAAGAAAAAGAACAAGCGAAGCGAAAAAAAGATCTATCATTGTGTGCAGTGGTGGTGAAATCCCAAGCCCTGCAAGTTCATTTCGGTCACAATCGATAGGAAGAAGATTCGCGGAACGCGTCAGTTTCCGTGTTCCCCAAGAGAGGCACTAGTAAAGTGTGGACTCTATATAACTAGAGAATAGAGACTAGTAAAAATTATAGTGCGGTTCCAAGTATTTTTTTGGCTGAACATTCACATTAACCTCACAGGAACGCAGAAGACAAAAACCATACGAACGCTGGTAGTAATATGAGTAATGCTATTAACCAAAATGGTACAGGTCTAGAGCAGCAGGTGAGTTTAATGGGGACCTTGATTCAATTTCTTTTGTCATTTTCGATAGGAAATATACGGGTAAACGTGAATTTTCAACTTTCACGATTCACAAGCGCGTTCCAATTAGTGGGGGGAAAGTTGCACAATTCTAACCCGATTTTCTTTTATGTGCTCTTAGCTTCCAACTGGATACGGGACAGCAGTGCTGCTAGTTTTGTTTTAATATACCGATTACCAAAAATCTGCGAGTAGCGCAAACAGCTAAGCTGCTATTTTCGGCACTGTTCGACTAATATACTAAATATAGATTACCCTACTAAACGGGTACCATAACTAACGATGGTACGACCATACCACATAAAGTTGGGATGATATCCCGAATTGGTGGTTAGGAACTTCTTATGGTTATTGTTTAGGCGGGTAGTTGGATTAGTTAGCAATCCTACTACCCAGAATGGACCACTATGTCAAGCAGTTTGGGGAGTGATTGTCTACCAGTGATTTCAGAAAACTGAACCAACAAATTACTATTTTTTAAATGAAAGTCACAAAGTTTTTGGTACTTTTCTCGTGGTTCTGGGTGAAAAAATCTCAAAATATTGTTTTATTTCGAAGTTCGGGTGGTAGTAAACCACTGTCGAACCGACATGAATGACCATAGAAATTACGTTCGCGGAAAAAGTTTATCTAAGCCACGAACACGCGTGCAAAATGTATGAGTTTGTTCGTGTTTAATCTCTATTTTGTTTTAGTTATTTTTATCTAAATAAAAAAAAATCTATGATTTTGACAGATGGGATCGCTGTACATTTGAATCGGCCGTTATAGATGTTCGAGTAAAAGTTAAGTTTAAATTTCATGTCGGTAAGTAAACGTCATTTTGAGCTGCTTGAATAAAGTTGTTAATTTTTGTATGAACTAAAAATCAGTTAGTCGAGCAGATTTAGAACTGTTTTCTGTCAGAGATTTGAGATAATATATCGCATTTTTCTTTGGAAAAGTATGAATAAAATCTTACTTTTCAGATATCAGTGGGTTCGAATAGGTCCCTATAAAAAATCTTTTTAAGACACTGATTCCCTCAAAATAAATGAAGATGACAGAAAACTTTCAAAAAGAACCTATTGAAACTTGAAAAACTTTGGCATGGCTTAGTGGATCAACCTTAGGTACCTTAATTTGGAACAACCGTATGTGGCTTAGTGGATACCGCTTCTACCTAACTACGCGGGCAAAAGATTGTGGGTTCAATCCCAGGCCTCGTTTACCCAAAATCATCAATATGTATCATTTCGTTCCTAGCGACGGAAAAGATGAACGGCAGTACAATATTATCTCCCATATTCTCGTTACCGTTTTTTAACATGAATAATTCGAGAAAACGAGAATATGGTTGATTATCCTCCAGATCTAAATGTTATACGGAATTTGTTTTTGATTCAGTTCAGTTCAGTGGATCGGGTATCAAGGTAGTGTTGCTTGTTTTCGAGAAAACGGCAGTTTTATTGTTTGTTTTGAACTGATTCTAACCCGGACCACACACTAATTAATTCGCTATTAGTTTGATGCAAAGATTGACATTACTTTCAATGTATTGAAAATGCCGACACATCAAGGGGTGCGGAATAGTGAAATCTAACCAGCCACCCGTGGCGCTGTTGTCGTAGCGGTGATAAAAAATGTAAACAGCTGTCAAGCGCGGCTCGCATCAAAATTTTCACTTTTGAAATTGCAAATTTGCCTTTTTCTGTACATTTTAATGATCAAAAAGTTTATCAAATTATTGGAAAAGTGATCTTCTACAAAATGGTAAGTGGCTTCATTAATATGATTGCTTGTAATCAGGAAAAAAGTTAATTTTTAGACTACGTAAACGCAAGCTCCACCGTTTAACATTTTCTTTGTTGTTGCAGGATCGTTGCATTATCCCGGGATGCAATAAGGACAAATTTCCACTTTTTCGGGTTCCGAACTCGGGGAGCAACAACTTTGCGCAGTGGAGAAAGGTTGCCACTGTTTACGGAACAGGGACAGAGCGGATATGCTCTCATCATTTTGTTAAAACAGACTTAGTTGAAAATGAGTCCCAAAGTTTGTTGTCGTGGGGTAATTTGAGATTAATTTCACGTGGCCGCTCACCGGCATGGGAACTTTGCAGCACAAATCCATTCCCCTCAATTCTTGCTTTGCTGTTTATCTACTGGTGTAGCCCAGGCACACAATTATGCTAGTTCTCTAAATCCGCTAGCACGGAGTCCACAACATAATCCAGTATACTTGCACGTCAATTTCGGGATGGGAAACTGCAATCATACAATACATAACCTAAAGAATATTGGTGCATCAAAACACACATTTACATAATCTTTCTACGACATTTCAATGAAAATTAACATAACATTACATTATTCGACAAATTTCCTACATGTATCATCCATAATAATGATTGTATCTCATTATTTTGAACTTTTTTTTGACGTAGACTGCATCTTACGGGAAGGTACTGGGGGTAAATCGAAAATCTAAAATTGCGACCGTCAGGAAGAAGTGTAAGGTTTTGAACGCTTATAACTTTGTCATTTATAGATGTAATAAAATCCAAATACATCAATCGATAGAAAATAATTCTCACAATCTGCTACAATAAATGTTATTCCATTTTTTCCAAAAAAAATCGTTGAAAAATGTACAAATAAAAAGTGATAATTTTATCACTGTTTTCATGAAATAAACGTTCTTCCCAAACCAAGTCATCATAATCGAGTACCATTTAGTTGTGTTCGAGTTTCTTCTAATTCATTTTATTGTTACGTTTACGTCGTGGAAGTGCCGTCATCGACAGGCGCATTGGCAAGCCTAATTGCACTTTCCACTAATCAAAGCATGGTACGCAAGCGTTCTACTACTTCTGCATCAGAGGGCCCCAGTAAGAAGGCCCAAACGGACGCCAGCGCTGCTTCGGATGACGCAGCTAATCGGCTAACCAATTCTCGGTGCTCGGAGTTGAATGTGGCGGTGGTAACGCCGCTGAAATTGCCAAAAAGGAGCGGATTCCCCCGCTGTTTACCTTACCCCGATGAAGGACGTCGCCAAGCTTAGGAATGAGCTGGCAAAACTCAAATTGCTCACGCGATACAAGATGTAGCGTAGGAATAAAGATCATGTGCTCCAGCCTACAGCAGTACAAGTCGATCGGTAACCTACTGAAGAACAGTACGGTGGAGTTTTACACCCACGATTTGCCTTCGGTGAAACCATTGAAGGTTGTTTTACAGGGACTGCCGTCGTAAGAAGCGGCTGCCATAAAAGATGAATTGAAGAGCAACATATGTAACCTGTTTCAGATCATTATCTACTGGGAATCCTACAAACCACAACACCGTGATGTGACTCAATGTACAAGTTGCCTCTCCTTCGGCCATGGCACGAAGAACTGTCATATGAAACCACGCTGCGACAAGTGTGCTATGGCGCACTCGACGGCGACCTGTGCTCATGCTGATGACACCGTGCCACTACTCGGGACTGCCCCAAGCGAACGGAATACATCAACGTCAGGAAGAAGGTGGCTACTAGCAACCAGACAGGCTGGCATCGGAACAAACGTACACTACCAGCCATCACGGATGAACTATACCCGGCAATCCAGCCTCGTTGCCTGGTCCCAAATCTCCCACCGCTACCTCTCAACAATTAACGAGTCGCCCCCTCAGCTCAGCATCGTCTCATTGCTGCAGCGGCACTGCCAAATCAAGTTTCTGTCTCGGCGCCTGAACTATCGTATGCCCATGTTGCCTCAGGCGATTCAGTTGACGAATCTCCGTTTACATTGGAGGAACTAGTAACGCTGGTTGCAGAGGTGATCGTCATCCTGCGTACCTGCAAGACTCAATCTGAACAGCTTCATGCTGCCTTATCACTCATCACCAAGTATGGACCGTTTTGCTAAAAATAACAAATTGGAACGCTTGTTTGCTGACGAACAAGCATAGAGAACTACTCGATTACATTGCTATCATCGAGACGCACTTGAAGCCCGAACTGAACGTATTCCTTCCCGTCTTCCGGCTCGTCAGACGTAACCGCACCTGCTCCGGGGGTGGGCGAGTGGCCATCGCTGCAAGACGGAACATCAGTTGTTGGCTGCAACCAAACTTCCAGCTGAAAACAATCGGAGTGGAGGTGAGCACATCACTTGGCCCAATTACCATCATCGCGGCCTACTGCCCCAAGCAAACCAACAACAGACATCATAAAACTCACCCGGAGGTGCGGGAACTTCATCATCGCTGGCGACCTGAATGCAAAACATCAAGCTTGGGGCAACGGTCGGAGCAATCGAAATGACACCATCCTGAATGAAGGCCTGCAAGAGGGCCACTATACCATCTTGGACCCGGACACTCCCACCCGATTGAGTCGGTCTGGGGTCCATGCGACCATCGACATCTTCGTCAGCAACGTGGGACACAACATCTCGCAACCTCTGGTCTTCCAGGAGCTGAGCTCGGACCACTACCCGGTAGTGGCCGTTAGGGTTTTATGAGGGTACTGTAGACCATGATTTAGACTTGTAGAGTTCTTCAAAACCTCAATAAAACATGCAATGTTACTTGGGCTGGGATGTGCAATACGTGCTTGTGAACGATTTCCCACACCTCAACGTAGTCTACGTCAACCATGCGGTCGTGTATTGTACACAAACCCACATCGCCCACGCAAACCAACATCATTGGATAGGGGCAACTATTATCTTTCCGAAAGTGGTATTGGTTTGCGTGGGCGTACTTTGGTTCGCCTGTAAAGGGCCTTAGAAAGCGAGGGGGATGACTCTATCTACGATGCAAGAAATATTGTGTTTTGCTGTGGCTAGCTGCGCGTACGCTGAGTAGAAAGAAGATTTATCACGATTTTGAAGATTTCCTGCAAAAAGATGCGAGAAATGAAAGAAGATTTTTCGAAGATGTATTCAATAGTGTGAGATTTTTTGTGCATATAGAATTGAGATTTAGATGTGT